AGAGAGAGAGAGAGAGAGAGAGAGAGAGAGAGAGAGAACTATTTGCCGTTGAAGCTGATAGAAGACATACTAAATTTTACTATAGGCAGTAAATGTGTACAAGTACTTTGAAGAAATGTGGGTCTCCAAAGGGTGTGCTTGCGTGTGAAGGCATAAAGCGAACACACAGTTTGATAGCATAAGTGCTTGTAGAGTGAAAATAAGAGAGGTGGATGTTTAGTGGTCAAACCCATGGACCAGCCCAAAAGAGTGATGTGTGGAGTTCAGAGGGATCAGGGCAGGCTGCAGGAGGCATCCAGGGTTTAAGACACACTGGCAGAAGCCAGTCAGAGCTGCAGGGCTGCCCCACCTCCTCCCACAGCCACACCGTGGGCTCTCACTTACCCTGTTGTCTTCAGGAGTAGGAGGAAGAGGCTTTTTTGAAGCTGAAATGAGAAAAACAGAAAAAGAAAGTGAGTCTGAGACACCCAGCCTTTCAGAGAAAAGGGGCCTACAGAGAACAACAGACGGAAAGGGGCTAGAAAGAGGTAACGAGACACTGGGATGCCAGAATCAGCCTGGGCACAACCTGTCTTTTAGGTATTTTGGATGCTGGTTTCTGATTCCTTTTTTCTAGGAGACACCAGAAACTTCTAGAAGTCAACATTATGGGATCTTCCTTTCTCTGTTCCCCCAAAATGCTTGACTGGGGAGGGAGGTGATACCTGCGCCCTTCCCTTCAGTACAGAGATTTCTACGAACCTATCTGCCACCTAAAGTGAGAGAAGGTGGTTCAGGGGACAGTGACTCACTGGTTTCCTGACATTGTGTGCCTGAGGAGGAAGAAGAGGAAAAGGAGGAGCAGTAGGAAGAGGAGGAAGAGGAGGAAGAAGAGGAGGAAGAAGAGGAGGAAGAGGAGGAAGAGGAGGAGGAGGAGGAGGAGGAGGAGGAGGAGATGGGAGTCATTGTACTGCTTCCCAAGTGGGATGGATCTGGTTTTAGCTCTCTGAGGCATCTGGCAGTGTTCCTGCTGCCTCCCCAACCCACACTTTCAGTGTTTCTCTCTGCATAACCCCTCTTGTCTCCATACCCCCTCTCTTTAGCTCTCCTCTTTTCTTTCTCTCCTCTTTCCCCGTGCCTCCTTTGGTTGTTTCATCCCCCTCTTTCACAGTTCTTCTGTTGTGGCCCTACAAAGGTCATGTCTGGAATCAACAGACCACAGCTTTGCACAGTTATGTGTGTGTGTGAGGAGTGTGTGTGAGGGTGTGAGGAGGTTCTCTACGGGCTTCAGCTCAGAGCAAAGATCTCTTTAACAATTACAGATAAACAGGAAGTGGCTCCATAGGCTGGAGAGAGGGCCTCGTCTCTACAGGAAGTCGACTTGAAGGTGGACAGCCCATATCAGGGATATGGCAAGGGAGAGCCACATCTTGATGCTGAGCCCAGCTCAGTGCCGACTCCTCAAGCCAGGGCAGGCCCAAGCATTGGGTATACAACTAACATATAGGAAGGAAACTCACATAATTAGAAGCATGATTCCGACATAGCCCTCAGACTAGAGCCCAGAAACTGGGGTCCTCACCCCCAGGTCCAGCGCAATGAGCCTGGGCTCCTCCATCCTGGGCCACTCTGCAACTGATCTCTTTCTTCTTCCTGGGGCCCTGGTCTTTCATCTTCCCTTCCTTCCTCTCCGTCTGTGTGACACTGATATGATACGACTAAGGCTGGTTCTAGCTGCAGAAATGCATGTGACTAGGAGCTGGTGGTATAGTAGGATCTACCTGCATTCAACCCCTTCTGCTTCTGCCCAGAGAGATACCCACACATAGGCTAGAACTCAGCCTCAGGTTCTTTTGTCTGCCAATAAGGAAGACCAGTAGACACAATGACCACTTATCAAGAACTGAAGTGCCAGCATCGCTGCAGAGCATTCTGCAATTCCAATGAAACTCCCATCAGCCACACAATGTATATCATTATCATTATCCCCATTTGCAGAGGAAAAAATTGCCTTAGAGGCCTAGAGCAGTTAAAAAACCTATCAACTCACATTGCAATGAAATCATGGGGCTAGGACTCACCCAGATGCTTCTTCAGGCTCCAAAGCCCTGGGCCTGCAGTCTTGCACTGTCATCAAGAATGCTGTGAGCCTTCTGGGCAGGTGCAGGACTGTGAGGTACGCTCACAGCACAAGGTGTTCCTCACAAACTGCTCACTTCAGTCAAAACTATGGTGTGTGAGGTCTGTTACTTATGCCACAAGAGCAGGGTGTGAGGAGATGCTAACCATGGTGTGTGGCGTGGGGATAGCAGTGTGTTGCAGGGCAAAAGCAACACCATTAGCAGCATGGCACACACGTGGGGGGGGGGGCTGAGAGCTGTCAGCCTCTCGGTTCATGTGAGGAGGCGCCTGCTGTGACCAAGCATGGTTATGTTGAGTCATTGGGTGCTCCTAACAGCCGCTGCCACACGTTCAGCACTCTGTGGGGAGAACATCTGTGCACACCGTGGAGGAACAGCTGCAACATGCAGACTCACAGAATTCCAGATGTGGGAGGGGGCATAGTTAGAATTTCACTGCAGGTCACCAAGACCACTCCTACGTTTTTAGAGATGAAGACATGAGAGGTCTTGGTGGCCAAGGGACTTCACAGAGGCCCACAGGGGGTGCTCGTACGCATTTGGAGAGTAGATTGCTAGCTCTGCAGAAGGCTTTTACAGAGGCAAACCCATGGTATTTGGCTCACTCAGTAGATTGCTCTGATACTAAGCCTTTCATTTCTTTTCAACAAAATACCGGCTCTTGTGAGTAGGACCAAAGGGTGAAGGTACAGACCATTAACTTTAAGACTTGCTAAACATTATTCTCCTGGGCAATGTGGTGATACACTTACAAGAATTCTTTTCCCTCAGGGTGTAGGGTGAGAAGTGGTGGTTTTTAAAGTGCAACTGACTCAGGAAGCCACGGAAAACTCAGCCACGTGTTACACCCACCTTGAGTTGTCAATCTAATCTATGTAAACTTAGTGCAAAAGAAGAAGTAGACAGATGAGAAAAGGCAATTGTGGTAGAAAAGGTTGGGAGGAGAGGAAAATGTACCAAAGGAGTTTGCATGGGCCATCATTCCTACTGTTTATTTTGTTTGGCCTTGTTTTGTTTGTGACAGGGTCTTATTATGTGTTGCAGGCTGGCCTTGAACTCACTATGGAGCTCAAGTTAGCCTCATACTTGAGGAAATCCTCCTGCTTCAGCCTCCCTAGTTCTGGGATTACAGGCATGTGTCATCATGCCCAGATTGTCATTTGTATTCTATAATGTTGGTTTTTAAAGAAATGTATTTAGTTCAGGGTATACAGTGTCTCACTATGTAGATTGGACTCATAGTGATCCTCCTGTTTTCAGTCTCCCAAGGGCTGGGATTACAGGCATGCACCACCATGCCCAGTCTCAGCGCACCCCGGGGGTAGGGTTGGCAGCACACGCTGGGGATCACCCCAGTCCCTGTGCCTCTGTAATGGTTTTGCAGAACCTTTCTTAGCTGCCCAACCCTGCATATATTGAATTGCTCAAGGTCAGCTGTGTGTTTAACATCACTCTACGTACTCCAGCGAGCTGTGAGAAAGAAGATATAAACATGTGCAAGTGTATTAGACAGGGAGGTGACAGGTCCAAAGTCAACACATGTGGTAAAATCAAGTTGCAGTCCGGTCACCAGGACCTGAGCCTTTGATATCAAAGGCTGAGAAACAACTTCCTTTGTTCTCACTTTGCAGTTCGAGTGTGGATTCTTTTTCTCTGAGACTGAGTTGAAATTTGTATAATTAAATGTGTGTGTCATATGATGTCATGAGAACAAGGAAGTGAATATTATTCTTGACTTCTTGAGACTGCATCTATAATTTAAGGTTTAAGTAGACCATGCTGTTCACATTTCCTAACATAAAATTATAGCAGCACTCCTCAAACTTTGCTGCGCACATAAATCTCTAGGAGATCTTATTAAAATGCACATCATGATTCCAGAGATCTGGTCCGGGCCCAGAGAATTCGCATTGCTAATGAGCTGCTAGGGTGTGCTGATGCAGGTGGTCCAACGACCACACTTTGAGACCAGAGATGAAAACGTGAAATTTGAGGCAAAAAAAAAAAAAAAAAGCATGAACAAGCTGATGGGAAAGAAAGATGAGAATTTTCCTCTGCAAATGTAGCATTTCGTGTTCAATCCCTGACCCCCTCAGTGGTGGGACACTGATAGCTTCTTGTCTTTGCAGGGCGTGTACAGTGGGTTCCAGGTCTTACCGTGCTTGGTCGGATCGTAGTGGGCACAGCCCGTCGCAAGCCTCTCCATCTGAGAACAGCACCTCCACTTCCCATCCATCCAGAAGTTAGGGTGATACTTGGACAGCAGGCTGTTATTATTCCTTGTTTCTGAAAGGGGTTGACACCAGCAGGAGAGTTATTTCCATTTGTGCTCGGAGGGTTCTTTTCTGGTGAGCCCTCCTGGTGGTCTGTGTCCTTGGCTTGGGCAAACCTTCACCTTGCACCTCCTTTTCCCCCGGCTAAGCAATGAGACCGGTAATCTCATCATTAGGTCAGTGGGCCCCCTGGCAGCACATCAGCAGTAGTGGGAAGAGAGGATGGGATTCCCACCGCCTTGCTGCCTGCACCTTCAACTGCAGCAACTGTGTTTTTGTCCTTTAGAGATGTGTGGGTCTGAGGTAAGATCTTGGTAGGACAAATCAGGGGCTCTGTTGCTGCAAAAGAAAGTGCTAAACCCACAGAACTAGACAGTTCATTTCTAGTAGTCCTTCAGACACTGCCACAGCAGGGTCCCTTCTGACTGTTATATAGGATAACATCTCCAGTGTGCCCAGCACCTGCCTGTTCATGTTTCGCTCGCAACTCTCAACAACCTGGGAGGTGGACAGAATTTTTATCGTCATTTCTCAGACTTGCTTATCCTTGGCTCTCTTGCTAATTATAGACAGACTGCTATCAGAGCCCAGAATTTCTGACACATGCGATGCTGCAGGCTGAAGAACAGCAACATAATAATCAGGAATAATGATCAAGTGCTGTTGTGGGGCTGAGTACTGTGACAAGTACCTCGCGTGTCCTAATTTATTTAATTCTCACAACAACTCCATGACTATTAATAGTCAAACGTTATATCTGAGGAAACAGAGACGCACAAAGGTCAAGAGAGTTGGCTAAGATCACACACACACCAACAATTGGAGAGTGTCACCTTAGTAGCCGGTTCTAGCTTTCATGCTGTGCTAGTTCCAATTATATTGTTGGGTAGGTAAGACTTAAATACCCTTACTGATTGAGTGACTTTAAATCTAGCTCATATTTATTGGGTACTCAATGTGGGTCAGGATTTTTTGCTCAGATTTGACCTGGGAGGCAGGTACTATTGTTACCAAGTAGACAAGGCACTGAAGCCCAGAGCGGTGAAGTATTGGCCCCAAAACAGTCCATGAATAAGTCATCCAACTCAAGGGCTTCTTATCTTGTACCTACACCAGAACTTGGCAAATTTTTTCTTAAAAGGCTACATAGTAAATGTAATCCTTTAAAATGAGCCACTTAAAAACATAAAAAATGTTCTTAGCTTGGAGGTGTATAGGAATAGGTGACCAGCTAGCTGTCCAACCTTTTTTAAAAAGATTGATTGACTGATTTGGTACAGGGTCTCGCTACACAGCTCAGACTCATAGTGATCCTCCTGTCTCAGCCTCCCTAGTGCTGGGATCACAGGTGTGCACCACCACTTCTGGTTTGTCGGGTGATTAGATTGCAGAATTATCTCCCCAGCCCTATCTGTCCAATCTTGACAAAACAGGTTGTTGCCTCTGGTTGAGACTAAGGTAAAAACTTGAGACCTTCATTAACTTTCAGAGGGAGAAATGCTTGAATTCAGAGGATCTCCAGCCACACTGTTCTATCTCAGAACCCAAGCCTACCACAGATCAAGGGTCTCGGGTGATTCAGTGGCAAAGGAGTGTAGTTACCTTCCTTAAGGGCCAGCACCCAGCGCTGCCGACTCTCGCGATCCGGAGCAAACACGTACAAGAGGTAGTTGTCATGCACAACCTAAAGAGATATACACACAGAGTCCAGGGTGAGCAGGGAGCCCAAAGATGGTAATGCCAGCAGCCCTACTTGCTTTACAGGGCTGAGAAGGGACTTCCAATACCTGTTGTCATATAAGCGTATCTGGATGACTAGGGACCCAGTGTCCTTTTCACGTAGATGTTTATGTGCTGTGAAATCAGCAGGTGAATCTCCACAGTCTGGGCTCTCATCAGAGATTCGTGCCCCAAGGGAAGCAGTTCTTAAGGTAAAACTGCAGGAGAAAGCTCTCCTTTTGCCTAGGTAACACATTTATTTCTCTTAAGTTTTCAGTGATTAAAGAATATTCTGTAAGTGTATGTAAGAGTAAGTTGTTAGATGACAAATAGGTAATAAGATTTTTAAAAATTCTTGTTTTAAAATAGTTTTAAGATTCACAAGTTCCAAAAATAGTACAGAGTTCCTGTATGCTTCTACCCACCTTTCCCCCGCTGATAGCATCTTACATAACCCCAGTACATTAAAAAAATTTTTTTTGAGACAGGTTCTTGCTATGGAGTTCAGGCTGTCTTTGAACTCTCAATGTGGCCTAGGCTG